TCCTCCTCCTCCTTCTTCTCCTTCTTCTTCTCCTCCTCCTCCTCCTTCTTCTCCTTGTTCTCCTCCTTCAGTCTAATGGTGGATGGCCACCTTCTCCTCCTTCTTCTTGTTCTCCTCCTCCTCCTCCTCCTCCTTCTTCTCCTTCTCCTCCTCCTCCTCCTCCTTCTTCTTCTGTGTTTAGCAGCTGGAACTGTTTCTTTGTTCTTCTCTGATTTTTAGTAACAGTTTGATCCTCAGCTCTGCTGTCAGTCAAACTGTCCATGTCTGTGATTGGTCATATGCAGTAGAGCCCGCCCCTTCTATGTGCACACAGAACTACTAACGAGTTAACGAGCATCATGTGACCACCGAGCTGACTGTGATGTAAGTTCAGCTGGATAAACAGATCCTGGATAGTTTGTACATTTTATATCATAACATTGTGATAATTCATGTGGTCACACTGATGTGTACCTGTGTGTGTGTGTGTGTAGAATTAAAGGTGTGTTCTCTTACCCCCCCCCTCTCCGAAGAAGCAGCAGCAGATGGTTCAGTACAATATAGACTTTATTAGTTCACTAGAGTTGATTATGAAATAAAAAGCAGATCAGCTTTAAATGATTCACAATTCAATGATCACCAAGTTTGCAGGTTCACGTCAACACAGGAAGTTTTCCCTACGTCCGCCACACCGCTTCAAAATAAGAGCACTGCGAGGCTGGAAACACTTTACTGTCAACTCAAAGGTTCAAGTTCAATTTAAACTTTATTTCCCGTGGTTGAATAAGTGAAGCGATCCAGACGAGGCGGACAGGTGGTGCAGAATGTGCTCAACTACTTTCCCCCCCCCCACCCCAACAAGAAAACTGTCAGTGAGGACTGACGTCCGAGCCATGATGACCAAACAGCTGAGGAGTTAAAGAAAAAAAGAAAAAAAAGATCATGGTCATTTGTGGCGTAAACAAAGTTCAGAGTCCGGTTCAGTTCAGGTGTCCGACAGACGACAGAGACCCAAATCACCAGAACTGCGTGGGGAATGTTTCATATCATTTTATTGTTTTTTTCCAACTTTATTTTTATCATAGCAATGGAAAAATATAACCTCATACAAACGTCTTCAATTCTCTGAATTTTTAAACAAGCAGAAACGTGAGTGACCCTTTCCCAAAACAAGTGCAGCTGGAATTAAAAACTGAAACGCTTTGCACCTTTTATTTTCCATTTGGCACTCGCTCCTTGACCATTCCTCGTCAGGTTTGGACTTTTATTTTGAAGTGATTTAGTGCTGCTGTTTTCGGGAGCGAGAACGCTGCAGACGGAGGCATTTATGTCCGTCAAATCTCCTTCGCTGTGTTAGTGCTCGGAAGAAGAAAGAAATAAGAGCAACAAAAAAAGTTTTCCTCCGAGTCCACTCCAAGTCTTTTATTTTCTTGTCGGGATTTTATCCGTTTCCCCTCCTCACCCCCCACCTCCCCCGACGTTGGGGGGGTGGCGTGGCGACGGCAGGTCGGTGACGTCATCGTGACGTCGAAGGAGAGCCCAGCTACAGCGAGAGGTGGATTGTGGGAGGGGGGGCAGGCTTGAAGGTAAGTTTGTTTTAAAGGGAGAGGACGGGGGAGGAGGGGGAGTCAAAGTCCAGTCCACAGGCTGTCCAGAACAGTGGGGTGGGGGGTGGGCCTGCTGGATTTTTGGGTTGTGTGACGTCATCATCTCTCGCTCGCTCTCTCAAACGTCTCTCTCTCTCACACACTCACTCGTCTTCGACCGACGAACAGAAGCTAAAGTTTGTCCTCGTCGTTCACGCATGTCGATCTCTCACAGCGCCCCCTGTCTTCTCCACCAGGCATCTGAAACAACAACAAACGGTGTGTTGGTCACATGACTCATAGACGAAATACAGATGAACAACATGACTCTGGATTGCCCCCTGGTGACTGGCTGCAGTACAGGTCATGAACCCTGCCTGCTCCATGTTAGTAGATGGGACATGGACCAAACTCATGTGATTGTTACATGTGTGCATCTGACCAGGCCTGGCTCTTGAGCTTGCGGAGCTCCTTCGTGGCCCAGGTGGCAAGCGTCTTGGTCTTGGCGGTTTTGGAGCGTCGACCCTCCGTCAGCAGGTCGTTGATGAGTGGACGAACCTCCACCAGCTTCATCACGTCTTTACCGAACGCCGTGCACAGATCGCTGAGGACCCACATGATACAAACACACATTACCAACACATCTGAAGCTTTTAAATGTGACACAAGTGAAACTCAAATCAAATGTCAAGTTTCAATTACAAACTAAAATGTAACCTGAAAAAAAAAAAAACTGGGACAACAAAATGAATTTAACTGAAAAACGGTTTCAGTTACAACAAGAGTTCAGTTACAGATCCAACAAGTTTCAGGATCCAGACTCGGGTCTGAATCAGGATCTGGATTCAACTGTGAGGTAAATAAGAAGTTGTGTTGGTCTCAGACGTTGTAGTGACATCACAGTGTCAGAGTGGTGCATGGTTTCTCTTCACAGACCAACACACACACACACAAGAAACACACTGACAAAGACACACACACAACTCACCCTATGAGTCCGGCAGCGTTGGCCACCACGCCGTCAGAGTGGTCCTCGTCCTCTGCTATGTGATGGATGAAGGAGAGAATGAACTCAACCCGTGGCTGAATGAGCATCACGTCAGCTGAGCAAGGGAGGAGAGAGAGAAGATGTCCATCAGGCAAGTTCACTCATTGCGTGTGTGTGTGTGTGTGTGTGTG